CCCCCCCCCCCCCCCCCCCCCCCCAATGAGTTTGTAGACAACCATGAGATCACCTCTCAACCTTCTCTTGCGGAGGCTGAAGAGATTCAGGTCCCTCAATCTGTCTTCATAGGATCTTACCTGCAGGCCCTCAACCATGCGAGAAGCCCTCCTCTGAACCCTTTCCAGGTTATTCACATCCCTCTTGAAATGCAGTGCCCAAAAACTGGACACAGTACTCCAGCTGTGGCGTCACTAATGCCACATAGAAGGGAACTATCACCTCCCTAGACCTCATGATGCATCTACTAATGCAAGACAGAGTGCGGTTAGCCTTACTTATTACCTTGTCATGTTAGCGACTCGTTCATTTTTGCGTAGACTATGACTCCGAGATCCCTTTCTGCTGCTGTGCTACTTAGAATGGTATTTCCCAGTGTATAGGTGTATTAGTGATTCTCTCCCCAGGTGCAGCACTTTGCATGTATCTTTGATAAATTGCATCCTATTCTAATCCGCCCACTTCCCCAGTCTATCTAAATCCATCTAAATTCACTCCCTACCCTCTAGCGTTTTTACTGTACCCCATAGTTTGGTGTTGTCTGTGAATCTGGACAGAGTGCTTTCTACACCCTCATCCAAATCACTGATGAAGATATTGAACAATACTGGTCCAAGGACCGAGCCATGGGTGACACCACTGTCCACATCTCTCCAGGTAGAAACCAACCCATCCACCACCACTCTCTGGGTACATCCCCTAAGCCAGTTTTCCACCCACCTGACTGTGGAAAAATCCACCTTTAAAAACCCATTAGAATTAATCTAATATTATAAAAGCCTTTGTCTGTCTGTAATGCTTTATTCCCCCTCTGATTGGTTGCCTCAGCAGCCAGTTGGACACATGGCAGAGTACCATGACAGCAGGGACTGAGGGGCTGGAGTGGGGAGGGAGGCAAGACCAGTTCCCTGCTGTTCCCTGCCCAGAGGCGGTGGCTTTGTGACCCGCCCCCAGCCCCCCCCTCCCAGTTCTTTGGAGGCAGCGGGGGTGCAGGGTACTGGCTGCATGCTAGCCTCACCCCACCCCACAGAGTGGAGTACCATAACAGCGGGGACTGGGGCCAGAACTGGGGGGCGACGCCAGTGCTGCTGGCCTCATGCCGCCCCCTGCTCTTCCCGCCCTGCTCCTTGGAGCCAGGGGCCGGAGCACCCTGGCCCGCCCCCCCCCCCCCCCAAAAAAAGCGTGGGGGGGGGGGGGGGGGAACCGGGAGTGGACGGGGAGGGTGGGTGGCCAGTGGCTGCCCCCCACTGTGACCACCGCTACTGCAACCGCTGTCGCAGGCCCTGGCCCAAAGCGGAGGGTGGGGAGTGGGGGAACAGCCTCAGCCATGTCCCAAAACCAAATGCACACAAACCTGCCAAGGAAGACTCCTTGCAGTGTAATATTATTTATATTTACAATACTGACGTGCAGTCGCAACACACACATTATTGCAGTTCTTGGGGTGCTCCTCTTCTATCCAGGAAAGGTGGAGCAGTTACCTACAGGAAGGGTGGCCATTGTAAGCTGAGGACTTTTCTTGCCTTTTCCTGCCTTAACATCGGGATGGGCACTGCTGAGCCCATCCGATGCATATTTTCCAACGGCCCAAAGCTGTTCCTGCTTGCTAGTCAAGAAGGGTGGCCGGCAGGATAGAGAAGACCGTTTACCCTATTTCTTGAGGGTCAGGCGATTTATTTAACAAGGGGGCTTCCAACATTAATTTCTCAGTGGAGCCCCCCTGTGGCTGTAAATGTGAGATTGAGGGATGCCAATACCCTTGTTACAATTAAGCCAAGTTGTCATTTTAAAGATGAGTTTTTCCTTTAGCGCAGGGGCGGGCAGTTATTTCGGGCGGAGGGCCGCTTACCCAGTTTTGGCAGGCTGTGGAGGGCCGCATGGGTAGCCCCACCCCTTGACAGGTGCCCCGCCCCCTGGTCACCATCTTGGGACCAATGTCTCAGGGCCAGCATCAGTGGAGCCCAGAGCAGAGCACAGGCTGGCAGGAGTCTGTGGAGCCGGGCTGGCCAGTAGGGAGAGGGGGGAGCTGGTCTGGCTCCATAGAGCCCCTGCCGGCTGGGACCCTATATCCCTGCTGCTCTGCTTTGGGCCTCACCAGCACTGGCCCCAGGGCACCGGTGTGGGCCCCGTGCTCCCACTGCCTCCCCACCCACTCACACCCAGTGCCCCCCAGCCCTGTGGTACAGGTGGGGGGTATTGCACAGCCCTGATCCCCTTCTTGCCAGAAGGGAAGTAGCTGGTGCTCAGTGTGGGGAAAAGCGCCCCCTCGCCCACCCCATGGCTTGTGCTCCCTGCTGCAGCTGCTCACAGCCCATGGCGCGGGCGGGGCGCCCGCCCGGCCCCAGCTTGTACCCTGCCCCCACTGACAGCCTGTCAGTGGGGCCGGGCTACAAGGTAGTGCTGAGCGCGGGAGGGGAGGGGGGAAGCAGCCCCTTGCCCGCCTCATGCCTGGTGCCCCACGCTGCAGCTGCTCGCAGCTGGCCTGGGGCTGCCCGTGCCTGCTCCGGATAGCCCTTCTGTGGGCTGCAGGCCCCTGCAGCAGGGAGTGCCGACCATGGGGTGGGCGAGGGGCTGCTTTTCTCTGTGCAGTGAAGGAGCCTGGGGAAAAGCTGAGTGGGGGGGGAGGGGGGAGCGGCCGCCCC